GCACATAATTAATTTCGCGCGTAGATTGTGAATGACTGTGTGCGATAAGCCGCGAAAGAACTTTATTTCGTCGATATTTTTGATCGGCGATAAAACGCACCGTCTTCTTGGCCCGCGTTAAACTCGCTCGTCAGACATTATTGTACCCCCGAATCAATCGCGATTCGCACATGAACGTGTAGACGCGATTAGTTTGAACGTAGTGTCGAGACGCAAACAAAACGCGTTCTTTGCCGGCGGCGATGATTCATCGCGGCGAATATTCGGCGCGCGCGCGATCCGAAAGCAAAACACGCGTCGCGCATCGCCGGACAAACGCATCCCCCGCGTTTTCCCTTTTTGCGGCGTGCGCTCGCGTGCGAGTTCTCGTCTGGCCGGCGAAAATATCTCGCATATTTTTGTTGGGAATTAATCCGGACCGTAATACCGGCCAGCGGGTGCGCGCTGAAAATTCTCTCGACAAACAACCCCTCGCTCTCTCACTCCTCCACCTGCGCGTCCGTCGCGACGTTAAAGGGCGCGTGTGTTCGTGTCTTGGGGGGAAGGTGGTTGTATGTGGTAACATACAGGGTGCCTCGGGAAAAGATAGATATATGAGCATGCATGGACCTTGATGTAATTTTCGACAAGTAGAAGCGCCTCGAGGTCGCGTTTTCTAAGCAGGGGCCTGAAAGTACAGTGACATGCATCAATGGTGTTCGTTGAATTCCACTAGAAAACAGTGACTTTGTATACGGGAAAGCCCCAAACTCTCGAGACGAATGAAAAGTTGTCTCAATTACACTTCCGAAATTTTTTCTCCTCTTAGAATCGCCCCCTTTTCAATTTTGAATACCCTGCGTTTATTATCGTAATTGGTCTCCCATACAAAAATCCCTTAAAGTTCTTTCTAAATTCATCCACACACAGGGTTACAGTTTTGCTACCGTATCAAGTTTTCTCCGAGTCACCTTGTATAGAATTCTACAGCAAATTCGCGAATGTATCTGACGGCGCTCGTGTATATCCTATCTATGTATTCGACAAGTACGTGAATGTCTGCTACCGCCTGTGAGGGGGAAAACGCGGGAACCGGCGAAATGGTCAGCCGTAACCTCCGACCCGAGCGCTGTCCCCACTCCCGGTCGCCTCTCACACCGACCCCCAACAGACCCCCGCATATTCGCCGCCTGGAATTCCTCAAGTTTGCCGAGGGACAGAAATTAGTTGGAGCGACGTAATTGCTGGAATGTATGCGTTCGCCCGTTAACGTTATGGCACCTCTCATTACCGTCCTAACGGCAGCTGACACGAGCTTCCGCCCCCACGTGCGCCATTCCCGCCCTCCCAAAAAAGAGAAGAAAAGAATCAAATGTCACCCTGGAAGGACCTCGATAAAGTGCGGATATCTTGTTACGTACGAGTATTCCCGTAAATATATCGCATGATTTCAAGACTCATTGTACGCGTTACGCTTTGTCCCGTCGACACAATTCTTAATAATGAACAAATTAAATTATATTAGGCTCTTGAGATAAGCAATCACTGGAATGATTGAAAGACCAATAAGAGCCCAGCACGGTTTTTGGTGTGAATACCACATTTTATTAGATTTATATAGGAGGATAAAAAAATATGTTTCACAATGTAAACGCCGATTTATTCGACAGATCTTTCAAACGTATGTGTTCAAAAGAATCAATTAAGGTTTAATTCATTAACTGATAGAAAATTTGGGGATTGTTAAAATATTAATAATTGAGGTACAGCGTTGGTTTGACATGAAAGGTAGATTTCTCGCGTACGTTTGGAAAGTCTGACGAATAAATCCGCGCGTTTACATTGTCAAACATATTTTTATTCTCTCAATATAAATTTAATGAAACATATTCTCATCGATTACCTCCTTGGTTCTTATCGGTCTTAATAATGAATTCTATATATGACAAGTTTAGAGTTGATTCCTTTGATAATATTCGAAGTTGCGAGAAAATCGAGAAGCCAAAAAGTTCATTATTGAATATCTACGCATCGAAACTTATAAACTTCCTATTAAATTTGTATTGTGGGCAGGTAAAAGAATTCTAATCGGAAATTAGTTGGAACACTTGTGTGGTATCTCGAATTTCCAATGTAATAATTTTCAATGTAACACAATCACCTTTCGATTACCCTTTAGGAAATTGAATTATTTTTTAAATACCCGCACTATTTTATTATTCAACGCCTACCTTATCTTCATATAACTCGATATCCCTTCGGAGCTGGCCGGTCGTCATAGAATTTTTGATTTACTCGATTATTTGGCCGCGCGACGATAAACAGCCGAAGTCTCGCCGAACGCAATTTAATCAAGTTCGGCAAGTTCGCCAGCGGTGTGGCGGTTGTCGAGGTCAGTACATGCATTCTATACTAGCCAGGGGAATTTTGTGGACATCACGCGGTCACCCACTATAATATTAATGGCTCGAGTATGAAATTTGCTTAATCATGACTAACGGGATGACCCAATGGAATCACAATGGGTTCGCCGTCCGTCACGTCAATTTCGAATAACGATCGTTACGAAGTTCGGGTGATTAAAAAGAAACCTTTGTGTAATCTGTTGTGTAATCTGTTTTGCAGTACCGATTCTGACGACACGATTACGTACAGGGAGCTTTTGCAAAATATGATCAAGCGCAATGACGACGATTTAATAGAAACAGAAAGTTATCGAATTTTGAAGTGAAATCTCACTCGCTGATTCACTTTCATTTGCTTCAATTTAGTTGACCAACTTTCTTAATTAACAAGAAGCCACGCGTCCAATCGGTATATTTTTTCTGCAGTGCAAAATCTCTTTTTTTTTATTCTATTTACACATTTATCCTCCTTTCGGCTTGATAATGTTAATAACTCCTTACGAACGCGTGATAAATGAGATCAGTCTCACAATCAAGCGATTTTCTATCTGTATTCATCTATTTGAACTATATATGCTTTAAAAATGCTATATTTTATCTCTTTTACATTCTATAACTTTATATATGTATTTCCATACTTTACTCTTTTATTCTTATAACTGTTATTAATCAACTTTGCGCTTGATCATTATAAATGCATTCTATAAGATTATGAGAAAATATTAAGATACATGTAATAGTAATGACTCAAAAATTCCCGTAAGAATTTATTCTCTTCGTTGGACAAAACGAACACCTTCGTGAATATTTTTCCTCGGCCACGTCCTTAATGGCTAGTAGCACTTTCTTGCTTAATTAGCGTGAGTAATGCCGCGCATTTCACCATTTCGTATCTGTGGCCAGGACGGTAAAAAGATGCTACGCGAGAAGAAAAGCTGGACGTTAAAAGTGAGAATGACAAATCCGAGGAACCAGGAAAACAAAGCGCAGCCAAGGGACAAAAATTACGAAAAACAGTGAAAAATGTTCATTAGTTACGGGGAATCAAGTACGTCTATTTTCTTCTCGGCAAAATCGTCCCGGTTATATTTCGGGCTACGCGAGGAATAAATTTATATTCATTCCTTCCTTGTATACTGTATTTTCCACGCTGTATCTTATATTATTGTAATAAAATCATGATCAGTTTAAGTCACTGTATATTTTATGGCACGATATGGAATAAATTATTTTTCTATAATTTGTGTAAAAATAACTAAATGCTTATTTAGACATGCAATTTCAAACGCAATGTTGCTACTTATTATACTTATATTCAATTATTACCGTATTACTTTATTTATTTATTTATTTTTTTTTTAATGTCAGTTGCCACATCGCAATAATAGGAGCTCGTTGAGGTAATAGACATTCAATAAATAGAGAGGGAAAGAGGGGGAGAGAAAGAAAGAAGTCTCGTTACTCTACTTTTTAGCGAAATAAAATTGAGCTAGCTGAGGTGGGTCCGCTGCCGCGCGAATGCGAAGAAGTCCCGCAACCGACGCGGACGCGAATTGCGGTGACAGTACCTTACATACATCTTAATTGTACGATGAATTACAAAACATACGCGCAGTGTAATTAATATCTTTGCGTAAATACGATATCAAACTCCAAGTACTTTCTAACTGCTTTAATTTTAGGATACGTAAATTGTGCATATGGTTACAATAAATGCATTTTAACGACAATCGGCATGTATTAATGTTCCCATGTCGTTGAATTGAACGATACACACTTTGATCGATCGTTTTTATTTGCAAGGTTTCTTTTCGCGCATGAAACGCCGCGATTGTTCGTTGTTAAACTGTTCGTTATACAAAATGGCCGTTATAAACTAAGACGTTCCGAAAGATGTCGCACGATATAAACTGATTTGTAATATAAGAGGAGGGGGAGGGGGCGAAGAGAGAAAGAAACAAAGGTCCCGCGAGCCTATTCTGTAACTTCTTTGACAATCGTCGTTATTTTGCGCAGCTTTCCTAGCATATATTTTATCCTCGTAACGACAACGTAACAATAATATAATATAAATAATTAATATGTCTACGCGAATAATGTGTGATGCAAAGTTTCAGTTGGAGAAAAGTACTTGGCAACCGCTACCTCAATTTTAGAAAGAAATGGATTGTACATATAGGTGCAACAAATACAGGCACGAACAATATAACGATGTATAATGGCGTGTCGTTGAATTGAGTCTTACCTTCCTCGATCAATCTCCGATTGTTTCTTTTCAAAAGGCCTTCCTTCGCGCACGAAACCACCGCGGATCATCGCTTGTAGAAAATGACCGTCATATACTACGAGATTCAAGAAGATCACTTGATCTGCGATGCGAAATAGTCTTGTCACGTCTCTTTCTATCGCGAAACACTACCAATTTTGCGGATATAATTATTTCGTCTATTCGTAAAAACAAAATCTATTTAAGCGAACTTATTTCAAAACCTGATAATATTATATTGTTATTTCGAATCTCTTATTTGATTCGATCTTCCTGTAGTAATAGAAAAGGAATACGCTTTTTTACAATAAAACTTGCAATGTTCCTGGTCGACAAGGCAGAGAAGTGAATTTATCGGCAGCGCAGAGTTTCGTCAGAAAACACGCGTGAGATTTTTGTATGCGAGGATTGCCGGAAAGCACATGAATTGGTTAAAGTATGGCATTTGTGACGCGAAGCCTACAAGTTTTATGCAAAATATATCATGGTAATGCGGGAATGACACATTGTACTCTCCGGAGACCAGCCGCTCGAATATCGCTTGTTCAAGTAGCGCAAAAATATCTCTATAGTACCGAGAGTAAGTACAATCATAACCTCCGCGCATGAATCGTAACCTCTGAGAAACTTAGGAATCCTGTCGTTTCCCGTGAGATAATTTAAATCAAAATTTGTACAATGAACGTGCTCTTCATTGATGATGATAAAAGTAAAGAACATTTTCAATATTTAACAAAAAGTTTACAATAGGAAATTACTTATTAACGTTAATTTGTTAAAAAGCATCTCGAATATAATTTCTGCGTATATTCTACATAAAAGAAGAGAACCTTATTCCAAAACACTCTTGATAGAAATATTTCATGTGTATTTCTCGCTTGTCTTCAGCTACAGGTCGCTCTAAAATCACTAGTAATCTAACAAACATACAATCTTCAATAAATGAGGCAGAGTCATTGGTGCAGGAAGCAGCTCATAAAAAGCAGAAGGAAGAAGCAAAGGATGAGGAAGAGAAGGTGAATCGTGAAAGATCAAAGAAAATGATGAATTATGGTTTTATAGCCTTTGGTGTATTTATGGGCATTGGATCCACTTATATAGTGTATGAATTAGGAAGACCTAACTATGATAAAGACGGGAATGTCATCGAGGATGAATTTTCCAATTTACCATTGTTTGAACAGATCTATAAGAGAGTTAGGAAAGAACTCAATTATTATACAAAAGTATGGTATTCTTTTTAGTTTTAGAAGAAGTACAATTCCATTTTGCTTCTTGCATTGTTTATATGGTTATTTTGAATATAGCTGGTACAAGAACCCAGTAGGGAAAAGTTACTTCCTGATCCACTGAAATATCCATACATACAGCCGCCATTTACTCTAGTCTTGGAGATGACGGATCTTCTTGTACATCCTGACTGGACAGTAAGTTTATGAAGATTTCTTATATTTACCACTGATTTATTTCTTTATTTAATGTATTTGATTTGCGTAGTACCAAACGGGGTGGAGGTTTAAGAAACGGCCTGGAGTAGATCAGTTTTTAGAAGCAGTAGCACCACCACAATTTGAGATTGTAATTTATACAGCTGAACAAGGAATGGTACTTGTGTGATATATGTATATATACGTGTTTATTAATTTTTTTACATTCTTTAACGCCGCTGTGTTTCAAGAGTATATCTGGCATAGAGAAAATCTGTTGAAATTCACCTGGAAGGAAGGAACATCTATCGATTCTGTTTACAGACGGTGTTTCCTATCTTGGACGCGCTCGATCCAAATGGATATATAATGTACAGATTAGTTAGAGATGCTACGCGTTTTGTAGACGGGCACCATGTTAAGGATCTGGGAGCGCTCAATCGCGATCTCAGTAAAGTAATTGTTTCAACATTGTGCATCTCTTTTGAGTACTCTTATGACGTTTTATATGAGATCATATAATTGTGTAAACAGGTTATTGTTATCGATTGGAATGAAAAGAGCGTGAAATTGAATCCAGAAAATGCATTTAGGATTCCGCGATGGTCCGGAAACGATGATGACACTACGTTGTACGATTTAGCGGCATTCCTAAAAAGTAAGATCGACCTCAAAATTATTCGTCCTAGAAGTCTCGTTTAACATTATTCCTGTGGATTTTTTACAATTTCTTTTTTGATTTATAATTATGTTTAACCGAGAAAAACATAAAATGCTTTATTTTTTAGCGATATCAACATCGAACGTGGAAGACGTGCGGGACGTTCTAAATTACTACAGACAGTTTGATAATCCGTTGGAGACGTTCAGGGAAAATCGACGGAAATTATTGGTAAGCCATTGCGAAATGTTGTGTATGATCGTTTCTTAACCGTAACAATGGATTATTAGCAAATGCAAATGGAAGAGGAACAAAATAAGGCGCAACAAGGAAATGGTCAAATACTTACTTCAAGATGGAAACCGTCTTTCCTGCGAAATCGCTAGTCAAGGTGAACGAGTTACGTTGAAATTTCAAACGCCTTTTGAATACACGATACAAAAATGTTCGAGAAGACCCATCGAGAGAAAGAGAGATATCACTCATTGTATAAGTTTTCTTAAAATAAAATAAGTGATATTCCAAATCTTATATTTGACTTATTTATGTGTATGTACATACTGTACATATATAAATACATATTGTGAGAAACACGTATGAATATACGTTGTTACCTATACGCATAAATGAAATGATTCTTATGTATATTTGCAAAAATGAAATGTAACACAAATTTCAAGTAGTATCACAGTACTTCTCACGGTAATTTCCTTTTATGTTAATCCGGAGTTGAGCGAATTATATTTCTCGGTCTTCTGCTTGATTTCGACACGACTTTCGGCAACAGTATCTCTTGCAGCACATTACTGTCATCAATACACGCGATATCTTGCTGTTGGGACACACTAATCAATTCTTGAGTGTTAACAGGTGTAGATACATATTCAGGCTGTGATTGCGCGGCATACTGCGACGATTCCAACCAACTCAATACTTTCTGGTGGGGCGCCGCGGTCACGGGTATCGCTACTTCCTCACGTACATCCCAAACCGCGAGAAGTTCCGGGGCTAATATGTCGATATATGATCCCAGCATAGATAAGGATTGTTTCCAGGTTGGCTCGAAAGGATCGTCCGCAACGTCTTCGCTAGTTTTCATACGGAGCTTTCTATTCGTAAAACCTGCAAAATCGCTTTGATAATGTTCGCGAAAATCACGAAAGCTCGCGAGAGAGTGTATCTAAAATTAAGATGTTTATTTACTCTTGAATATGTGTTCCATATTATGCTTATTAGTCAGCGTCAAGGGTGCCAACGGTTCAGGTTGTGCTAACAAAGCCTTCTCCCACATACTTAACGCGTAACATGCCTTGTTATTTACCGGTGAATACTTATCCAATACGGTTTCGTGTGTTATGCACTGATAAAATATATCACCTGAAGAGAATAGATATATTTGCAATAATAAAGCTGTTCCGTGAGATGTGTTGGTAAAATATTAAAAAAAAAAAAAAAAAAAAAAANCAAAGTGTGTATTGTACCAATCGAATTTTGTACGAAGAAAGACACTTCTCCTTTTGGACTTGTGGCTAGCGTGCTACCGACGTTACATAGATCAAATCTGCTTCGTAAGTATGGATCCAAACACATCCCTCCCAATTGAGCCTCGTTCAATGTTTCCGCTATGTATGGGGGTTTAAAAGGCAAATTAAAGGAATGGAATGCCTCCAAACTTGCCCAAGTGTTCAGAATTATAGCACTTTCGCCGGCTGTCTGACTTGACAAGACGACGATCTCCTTGTTATTGCTGTAATTAATAGATAATGATTGCATAGCAGTTGTGTATATATAATTATTATATAGTGGAATTTCTCACAAAAATACTCATCACCTGTTCGTTACAGTCATCAATAGCGGAGTGTCCTTAAACTGATGCGTCCATTTTTGCTGTATACATTGTTTCGGAGAACGATTATCGCACATTAACAGAGAATGATAGGTACCTATGTATCGGCAAGAATCATTTCTGCTCGCCGCATCCACTGAGAGGCTCTCGCAATTTTCTAAATGTGATTTTGGACACAGTGTGAGACTCGGATGATCAAAGGAGGTCTGCGAATAAGTCCAGTATAATTATACTTTAATAAAAATAGAGACAAAAATACTCGTATAAATACTCTGCTGAATAATGTATATTAATTTCTGAAATGTTCAATTGTGCGAAAGTTAATTCGGAATTCCTTCGAAAATCTTACTCTGGTATCAATATAATGTAAACAACATCGGTCTACATAAATCAATACGTTTGGATCTCCCTGCTGGAATCTTACACTTCCCCAAGCATCCTGAGCCTTATTTTGCACTACGGAACCATTGCTGATGTGATATCTGGGCAAATAAAATTATCGTCGCAAAGAAACACAATAAATTGTTGGAAGACCGAAACAAAGAAGTAAACTTACGTCCTAGTAATATCCCATAAAGACAAGATTTTATCCGCGTTTAGTGTACAATGATGATTGACATTGATTAAACTCAAATCAGCACTGACGTATGGTATCTTTGATGCTTGCTTATGAATTTCTTTAAGTATTAAATGATTTTCAAAATTGCAGAGCGTATAAAGTGCGCACTGATTTTTATGCCTTCCTAAAATTCTACCTGAAATATGAAAATAATTTGTATAACAATATTTTGATGCATTATAAACTTGTATTAAATATATCAACATACATACATGTATTATCAATACTATTGTGTCTAATTTCATATAATGCTTCATGTAGTTCATATTTAGCTGAATTTTGCAGTAACGGCTTCCATATAGAATCCTCCATAGCAATAATATTTGCAGCAACTGAAAATATTTTAATGCAAGGAGAATTAAAAATTGTCTGTGACCAATTATTATACGTGTTGTCATAACTATATCAACTATTATAAGTCCATTATATTCAGACATTGTTATATTTAAAACAATACCTAAATCTCCCATAAATGGAAACAACAGAATATCCCAGCCATTTAATTGGATATAGTTCAATGATCCACCAGTATAATACCAGTTATAAGCCTAAAAAAGATATTTTATTAATAATTATATAAACCAAATATCTTGATTATTAATTTTGCTACATTT